TCAGGTCCGATTCCTAAAAGAGTGAGTCGTTGGGATTCGTTGGGTCACATCTCAAACGATCGTTCAGTTCTTTGGAATCATTTGGCGATTGCAAGCGTTATTTTCTTTCAACAATTGCCCTTCATTTGTGGCTTGACCTTCAAGTGATGCTTCATATTGCCCCAAAGTGGCATAGGACCTGCCTGGCACTGCAAAGTCTGTAGAGTCGGCGCTGGCTCACGGATCCCATTGCTCAGTAAACAGAGTTGACACTGCAGACATGTCCCCACACCTACCGGTTTCCACACACATGTTTGTAGCGTTCTCGGCTGAGTTCTTGATGAAGGGATGCTGAAAGATTCCACCATTTGGGATATATATATATATATATTTGGCATGTTCCTCCAGCTATATCATTGGATACCCTATACCCCGAAGCGCAGCTTTGGCCCTTCTTCGATGAGATTGGGAAGAAAAGACTGCCTGACTGCCCTGGATGTACCGATGTTCATAGGGGATGCTCAAAAGGAACAGAATTGGAAGATAAGCATGTGATTGCAAGAAATGCAAAGGTGCCCATTGTATTGAACTTCGGCCTACCTTTCGGGTCATGGAATGTCCAAACGTATCCAAATGACCAGAACTGCGAGGGGCCATGATTGTAGCTGTCAGGCCAAAACCCCAAAAAAAAATACACCCGGGATCACCCGGGGAGATTAACCTGGAACCTGAAAATGGACCTTTGAAAGACTATGTTCCTCTAGGGCAAAATGGACGGACTTCAGGTTCCATGTGGACACCTTCCAGGGTGTTTCTTCATGACATGACACGGATCGAGAAGTTTCATCCATTTCTGGCCGTCCCTGAGGAGCTTTGACCCCTTGGGCTTCACGGTCGTGTGGGACAAGAATGGCCTCCGCAAAAGCACTGCCTGACACCGAGCGGCCAGAGGTGACGTCCAACGTGCGAAACGACATGTTTTTAGAACTTCGCATGACCAGTGATTCCCTTGGGAATCTGTAATTATACAGATCTGATGCCAGTTGCAGTGATTCCCTTGCAGGACTTTCCATGACTTTCCATGACTCTCCGAAAGGTCCACTCCAATGTTCGGCCAGAGGTGGGGGGGATGCAACCCACGCCCAACCCACCCTACCCGCGCTGCCCAAGGCCTTGCGGGTCGATCCCGAGGAGCTCACGGATCTCTCCAGCCAGAAGCGCTTCGCCCACAGGCCGAGTCGACCCGCGGTCGACCCGGGCAGGTCGGAGTCGACCCGACCGAACATTCGATGGCGTTACTAGAGCCATCTTGAGCCCTTAGTAGCTTCTAGCTACTAGTAGCGATGCCAGAGCCCCTAGTAGCGTCCGAACGCTCCTAGTAGTAAGGCCAGGAGCCCCTAGTAGCTTCTTGTTACTAGAGCGAAAAGGGCATGTGATTGGGTGTGATGTTGCTGGGAACCACTGGGAGCAAACCTTTCACCTGGATGTGACGGTGGGGCCGCGTCAAGATGCGTGGTGTGGAAGGCAGCTGGAGGACTTCGCAGCGTCAAGATGCGTTAAGCACCTGCAAAGCTTGCAAAGCCACGCCACAGTAGCCCGCCCAACACCTGAGTCAACAAAGAAAGCAGAGATGCTTCAAGGATCTTGAGAGCTCGTAACAGGGCCAGGCAGAAACTGATGGAGATGCCGATAAAAACATGTGAGGAACATGGATGTTTCCAAGCTCCATGTTGGTCGGTCAACTTGTTGGTGTTCATGATCTCCGCAGCAAATCGCACCTGATCTCCACCACGGTGAGGTGTTTCAGTGCGATGTGTTGGACAAACGTTCGCCAATCAGTCATTCGACATACTTTAACATGTTAAAGTAAGATGAAGTAAGTATGTCGAACTGATCTATGATGATGAAGTAGTCTAGTGAGCATGCTTTGCATCCAAGCAAAACAGCACTTGTTCACCCAACATCACTCGTGTCCCTTTCCTTTTCCAACCTGTCGGACCTTTCGCTTGGACCGCCGGCGCCAGGTTGGTCCGGAAGTATCACGACTTTTTAGAAGAGCGACACACGGCGCAGGCAGGGCGGCGGGTGCGTTCGCGCGCGTTTTTTCCGTTCGCTGTGTTCGCTACACATTGGTGGCATGGTGGGGCAAGGTCAACACTAAAAGACACATGGTGGAAGACAATTCCCATGTGTGTTCTATATTCAGATTGTTCAATCATCCTTCCCATTTCCACTACAGAATGGGCGCCCACAAGGCCACTATAACAGGGTTGCAATTTTAAACGAAAGACCAGGTTGTAACCTTTTGAAAGCCACCAGGGATACTTTCCAAAAAAAAAGAGATGGTGTGTTATCATTCCCAGGAAACGGTGACCACCACCCATTGGTTGTAGGGCACTGCTATTTGACCCTTGTTGAGAAACATATTACAAGGATAGGCAGATGCATGTTGGTAGTGAATCAATGAATTGTGTTTGGTATTGAATTGCAGGATTGTGCAGCATTGTCATACAATGTTTGATTCTTGGGGGCTGGCGGCCATCAACAGACCAAAGGACCGTGTGTTTGGGAAAGGAAAAGAATGTGCTCTTGTCGATGCGTTTCTTTAAATCAGATATGGTTGTTCTTGGATTATCTTTGACTGTTTGACTAGTGAAAACACGCATCAATGTACGATCAAATAAAAGTGTCCATCGCCCTTTGATTCACCAGAAATGACACTATAACATCATGGCTACCTCCAGACAAAATCATCTACATTCTCGAAACGGAATAGGGACCCCATTTTATAGTGGTGCACTGTGTGTCAGTCCATGATGTTTTAACCCTTGAATGTTTATGCATGTTGTAGTGATTTGTTTAATGTAAAACCCAGCATTTTGTAGTGAAATTCTGGATGGCCGGCGTTTTATAAATGGCTTGCACACCCCTACTCCTGGAATGAGAACAGGGAAATTGTTCAATGATTTTTCAGTATTGCCAAACGCTGTTGCCAAATGATGTTCCCAAACGCTATTCCCACATGTCCTCACATAATCTCACATCCGATTTTATCCTATAGTCCTATAGTATATATATATATATCCTAATATAAGGTTTCTCAGAATTTCTTTAACCTCTGAGATTCCCAAGCAAACCTTGTTGTCCAAGTGGAGACTTCGTGCGACCTATCAGGGTCGGTGTGTGTTCCATCGAGCTATCAGGGTCGGTGTGAAGACATGCTACTTGGTACTCTCTTTGCCCTCACCCAGTCAGTTGGTCATCTCATGTCAGTTTGTGAGGTATGTGATACGTTACGATAAACTCTTGGGTACGAACGTGTTCGAGACGTTCCCTTTACGTTCCTGGGGACAAGAATCACGACAGCCGCCTGAAAGAGGCCTGGAAGTGACGCGGGCAACAGCTGACTCGTGGGACCAAGGGCATACACAGATATTGTAACAAGTACATATTTCAAACTATAATAACCATGTCACAAACTGAACAAACTCAAAATGTGTCAATCTCTTTGATTCATCAATTTACAGTCTATATCAGTTTGTCCCAGGTCTACGGAAGGCAGCGAAGCAGAGTCGGTGTTTGCCAGGTCGAAGCCCTCCTGCAGCGCTTGGCGCAGCGGGTCTTGCCCATCTACTGCTGCTCGACAGATGTGTCCGGTGAACGAAGGAACCGAACAAATCCCAAGTCGACTTCAAAGGCATCCGTCTACGCAGGTAGACACCCCAAATCAGAAGCATGGGCGACCTTCAAATACCTTCAAATACCTTCAAACTCAACCGCAGCACAGGGCGCCAGCGCTTCGTCCTATGGAGGTCCCACCCCCATTTTGGGCAACTTCAAATATCTTACTTTTAGATGATCCGACTCCCTTGTGTTGGGCTATGCATGATGCAACTCCCATGTGTTAATTAGGTTCCCTTGCGAACCGGAATGCCTGTGGATGGTTGAAACTCTGTCCCGAGGAGAGGGTGTTTTCTGCATACTGTAGGGTGTCTTGTAATTGTATTATTTGTTTGGGATTTGTTTGGGGGGTGCCTGTGGAAGGCTCCGCACCAAGTAGTTGGTCAAAAACCCTTGTGATTTCTGGAGAGATGTGAGGGCGAACATGGAAAGATTGATCTGAACCAGGTAAGTCAGGTTTCAATTACGATAGATTGCGCTTGTCTATATGATCAAAAGTGATCAACAGTCATCAAAAGAGATTCTGAGATCCAATCAAGTGTCACTTTGTGCAGGGGACTCACTTGTTTGATTTACTTGTTCAACTGTTTGTTTGGTTTTTGACCCTTTGGACGCCGTGCATGCAGGTGTGAAGTCGTCAGAGGCTTTAGGCACTGGCGATGCAGCTGGTAGCAGTCGTGCTGTTCGTGAGGTGCGGCAGGGGAAACCAGACTGCTTCAAACAATTGGTTCAAGAGTCTATTCACAAATGCCGGCGGCCAATGACGAACAACTGTAGTGTTTTGGGCATGAGTTGAAAAATGCAAGCCTGTTTGGGGAAGTTTGTTTGCCGCTACGGTGGCTTCTGAGCAAGTCAAAAGCTTGAAAGTAGAGCATCCATGGATTGATTTACTTTTCTGGGTGTGTGAAGTGGTGCTGAGATGCTTTCACGTTCTACATTGCTGCTTCTCAAGCATTTTTGTATGTGTATTCGTTACTACTCAATATCACTGATTACGTACCTTTTACTTTCATTTATTGAGCAGTCCTCGTCAACGGGCGTGGGAACGTAAAGGTGTCTTAGTCTGACATAGTAGTGCCTTATTCGCACCCATGTTCTTTCGTCTGGACTGGACTGGCCAAAGAGCCACTGAAGCAAAGGCCTACTTGTGATCCCCTGCTCGATACATTTTGACCCATCAAGGGCAGTTTTTGACTGGTCATCAATGTCATGAAGCTCATAGCAAACTTACCTCTGCAAATGTTTGTTCGTATCTCTTCAATCCTGGTGACTTCTAAGAACCGGAATAAGGCTTCACACTGCTCTTTGATTGACACCTTCGCACGGAAACTGCCAGGGCTCTTTAACACTGCCTGCAGGCTTGACTGGGATCGCGCCGCTGCCAAACTAATTCAAATGCTTTTGGTGTGTATGTGGAACTGTGGTCATTCTGCAGTCGAGGACAATATCAGGAAACTGGTTCCCAGAATAGAGTTCAGGATTGTTATAACATTCGCTGACAGTTCTATCACACATAGATTGGTGTACAGTTTGCTGCCAGATTTTGGTGCTTTGGCTTCTGATCCACGGTACTTGGTCAACATTTGTACAATAAGTTCACATCAACCTTGTCTCAATCCTTTCTTGGCTGCAGATGTAGACGAAGTGTCGATATGTATTAAAATTGTGTGTGTGTGAGTTTATGCTTGTTTTTTGTTTTCCCACGACTTCAGCCTCAGAAGATGCAAGTTACACCACCAGGCAAACCTTCCTTGTCCCCCAACCCCCTGTTGGGTCACCGGTTCCGGTGGTTCCGGTGCTGGGCTGGCCGCAACAGAACACGCGCTGTGCACCGGCAAGGCGTGTTCTTCCTCGTGGTGGAACGGACGAGATGTCCCGGTGTCGGACTGGTCGGACTGGTCGGTGGCGGGTCATGGCAGACCCAGACCCTGACCCTGACCTCCGGGTCGGATGGTCTATTCTAGTCTGTTTATTGTTTTTTCAGTGGTCAACTGCTCGGTCTTCGGGTTTTTGACCACTAGCCATGTCATCAGATAGGGATCTTGATTGAAGGTGGAAGTCGCCCTTCTTGTCCTGCTGCCTGAGGGAATTTTCATGAGCCTCCTCCTTAACCGCACGTGCATGTTGGGTCAGCCGAGGGTGTTTGCCCAGAACATCGCAACACGTTCATTTTTGTCGGCTTCACAACATCAAATCATTATCAACGGTTACAGACTCCTGGCTGGATTGGCGTGAGTGAGAAATGGAAAGCGTTGAGCCTCACTTCACGCCCAGCAGCATCCATGCCTTGGAACTGCTTACTTTGTGTGATTACAAGACGCAGATTCAAGGCATCAGACCATGGTCTTAACAGATGATCCTGTCGATCTGTCCAAATTGCAAGCAAAAGCGTCGGATTGTGACCAGTACTAGTAGTGAGGGTTCTTCATTATTCCTCGTTTCCTTACTCATCCTTCATCTTTTCTCCACTTCCTTCACCTCCAAGCATCCAAAACCACCCCAAAATCGAGCGCCCCACAACCTGCAGCCTGCTGAGCCGAAACTCGGCCCGGCCCACGGTCTCTGCGTTGTCTTACGCGTCCCAGGTGCTGATGGATGGTGGCTGCGCTTGGCCAGCGGAAAGAAATGGGTCCCTGAGACTTGGAACGGCCGAGAGGCGCAGAACGAACCCCGAGCTCGGCGCTGCTCGTACCCTGTTTTTTTCTTCGAAGTTCTGCTCGGAGTGGGTGGGATGCGGGAGTCAGTATAGCTTTTCCTGTTTTGGGAGTCGGTTTTGGTGGGATGGGAGCACCTGTTTTTAGGAGCAGCATATGGCTTTCCAATGCTTTCCATGAGCAAAACCTTCGCGAGAGGGTTGGATGCAACAGTTTGGCGAGAGGGATCTCAGCAATCTCAGAAAAAGAATAGGAGTCGTTTGATTCAGTATTTCAGGTGGGGCATTTCTGACAGTGGTTTCATGTGTTTTCATCAGGTGTGAGATTCGATTTCGTTGGTGATAGTTGACAGGAGCAGTCCACAGCCACCAACGGGACAGGTGCAGTCCACTACTTCCAGAGACCTGGTCGTGCGTTCGTGTGGCTGCCAGTCATGACGTGGCTCAGCCCGGCCGGCTGTGATATCCCGATTCCCACAGCCATTGTGTTTTGAATATGTCTTTAACAAACAACCATTTTACTCAGAACTTCAGACTACAGAATGAGGTCAGCCATTGGATTTTACCTTAAATCTTTGAAGGCTGGTGAGGGTTCTTCTTTCTAGCACGGTCCGTACGTTCTTTGCGTTCACCACGGATACGGACGGTGTTTATTTCGTGGACCGGTCGCAGGCCTGTGTCAAGTGCAGCCCTTCGGCGAGTGATGCTCTCGAGTGCGAGTCCAAGCAATGTGGAGCCCGAAACCAACTCCTAAGCAATGTGTGAGTCCAAGCAAGGTGCTTTTTGGGGGAATTGGAGACACCCCACTCAAAAGCAGGTGGAGTTGGTTCGATTCAGTACTTTCCAGACCTCGAAACGGGAGTCAACGATCGGGGCCGCTCTCAGGTCCCTCCGGCACATACGCTTCGCCCGGGCCAACAGGCCGGGGATGTGTGAGACGGACAGCTCCCAGCGGGCTATGTGTCCCAGCGGGCTTCAGTGGGAAATCCAGGTTCTGCCATACTTCAGGTGTAGTTGATGCCCATCATCGCAGGATGTTCATGGATGTTCATCATTGCACCCATGTTTCTTGCGGTAGTGGATCTCTCATGGTCCCCTCGTTTTGAAACACTCATTCAAGTCACTCCCGGGCTGTCCCGCTGTTCTACGGACGGAATATGTGCGATAGATAGCCTTAAGTGTCAGCGTGTGGCGCGACTATGCTTGTCTGTATACTCTGCCAAGCTTTGCTCATGTTACATCAGAGTTGCAACCATATGCAGTTGCACCCATTGGAACTACCCACCTGGATTTTTCTCAGATGTTTAAATCACGTTTTTACTCTAAGCTACCAGGTTGGAGTGGTCGTATGCCTCTCGAAACGGTTCCTCCTTCGGGTCGACGCGGTCTCGGCCGTCCGGCCGCCGTCCAGTGGAGTTCTGGAGCGAAATGCACGGCTGGTCTGCGCACAGATCGCCAAGCAGTCCACCTCTCAGTGTATGGCCTAGGCGTGACCAGACCATGGGGGGGTTTTGGGGACCTGAGGTTGGTTGGTTGGTTGGTTGGTTGGTTCGGTCTTCGGACACGGGCAGTCCAGTTCCACTGAAATACGCGAACAAACCTGAGGCCTCCAATCTTCCCAACAAAACATGAGATCCACCTTGTTCCTACTAGCTTCTTGTTACTACTAGCAAGGCACCTGTTACTACTAGCGTGGCACTTGTTTCTAGAAGCTTATATCAATCTATACTCTTTCCACACAGATGTTTGGTCTTTGTTTCTAGACTTGAACGAGACTGTGACAAAGTCGCTCGTGCTCGGTCAAAAAGCGAGATTGGCTGAGTCTCAACTTCAAGCCAGTGGCTTTAGCTTTCAGACGACCTGCTTGGTTGTTCCTCTATTCTCCAAACATGATCTGTGACGGCTTGGAGGCGTGCCAGTCTAGTTCAAGACAGACAAACACCGTATCTCATGTCCATCTCATTCCGGGTGCTGTATATGTTCATTTTTGTTCTATTGTTTATGTTCTATGCTGTATAGCACACATTGAGCAGCCAGGCATGAAGACTTGCGTTCAAGCATCCACTACCTGGTTTTGCAAAGTGGTTTGGGAAACCGTTTCTAGAAACCCTATGCTTTGGGTCATCCACCTGCCTTGTCGATCAAAGGTACTCGTTCCGAAAACACCCAGGTCAGCTACGGCAGCAAAGTGATTTCCAGGCAGCTTCGGTGCCATCATCTCGGGCGGCACCCAACCAGCAGAGGATGTTACTGCGCTTCTTTGCTGTTCTTGTGGTGATGGTTGTCATCGTTGTTGTCTATGGGTTGTCGTTTTGGTGGGGAATCTAAAGGTGAAAGGGTTGGATTGGTGTCGGCATCTAAAATTATACCAGCGTAGACCCCAAACAGAGCAATGTTCAAAAATGATATCTCCGAACAATATGGCCAGCAGTATTTCCTAGAGGAAGAAAACTGAAGTCCACCATGTAGACGCACATACAAGATTCAAAGGGAAAGCATTAAAATTATGTTTTTCAGTGACTTTACAATGGGACGCCGTACAAGGGCTAAAACATGAAATTTATGGATCCAGGTTGTGACTCAGAGCATCCAGAGCTTACTGGGAGACAAGTGGGAGACAAGTGTGAAATCATGCGGCCAGAGAGCCTACTGGGAGACAAGTGGGAGACAAGTCTGAAATCTTGCGGCCAGAGCACTCAGAGCATCCAGAGCTTACTGGGAGACAAATGGGACACAAGTATAAAATCATGCGGCCAGAGCACTCAGAGCATCCAGAGCTTACTGGGAGACAAATGGGAGACAAATGGGAGACAAGCGTGAAATCATGCGGCCAGAGCACTGAGAGCATCCAGAGCTTACTGGGAGACAAGTGGGAGACAAATGGGAGACAAGTATAAATCATGCGGCCAGAGCACTGAGAGCATCCAGAGCTTACTGGGAGACAAGTGGGAGACAAATGGGAGACAAGTATAAAATCATGCCGCCAGCGCACTCAGAGCATCCAGAGCTTACTGGGAGACAAATGGGACACAAGTATAAAATCATGCGGCCAGAGCACTCAGAGCATCCAGAGCTTACTGGGAGACAAGTGTGAAATCATGCGGCCAGAGAGCCTACTGGGAGACAAGTGGGAGACAAGTCTGAAATCTTGCGGCCAGAGCACTCAGAGCATCCAGAGCTTACTGGGAGACAAGTGGGAGACAAATGGGAGACAAATGGAAGACAAGTATGAAATCATGCGGCCAGAGCACTGAGAGCATCCAGAGCTTACTGGGAGACAAGTGGGAGACAAATGGGAGACAAGCGTGAAATCATGCGGCCGGAGCACTGAGAGCATCCAGAGCTTACTGGGAGACAAGTGGGAGACAAATGGGAGACAAGTATAAAATCATGCGGCCAGAGCACTGAGAGCATCCAGAGCTTACTGGGAGACAAGTGGGAGACAAATGGGAGACAAGTATAAAATCATGCGGCCAGCGCACTCAGAGCATCCAGAGCTTACTGGGAGACTAATGGGACACAAGTATAAAATCATGCGGCCAGAGCACTCAGAGCATCCAGAGCTTACTGGGAGA